GGGGCTTTGGCCTGAGTTTTCTTTCGATTTTGATGCTTTTTTAAAAGCCCAATCGAAAACAGTTAAAATCATTAAATAATGTTTAGGAAGCAAACCTATCCTGTCTGTCAGGGTCCACCTGTGCATAGAGGGATGACAACATCACAGTAGAAAGATGGCGATACTCTATAAAAATTTTCCCCTCTCGGGAATCGAACTCTGGTCTCCGGCCTACGACAGCAAAGCGCTTACCGCTAGGCCACAGACGGGTTGGCGTGAATTTGAGAGATCTTACTATTATTGCTAATAGTAATTAAGTCATTTTGATTGGGTCCCTTGACCTGATGGTTGATGGTTAATTAATGTTTCACACCCCTGAGTTAAATTTTCGTCCATCTTTGACTGGATGTGAATATTATTAAGCCCCACCCCTCAAATCTCTCTCTCTCTCTCTCTCTCTCTCTCTCTCTCTCTCTCTCTCACACACACACACACACACACACACACACACACACACAGACACACACACACACGTACACACTCACCCACTCACTCATTCACTCACAATTCAAACACAAACACACACACACACACATACACACACACACACACACACACACACACTCACTCACAAACCGTCACACACGCGCACACACTTTACACACACACACACACAAACCCAAACGCATTACGCTCGCACATACACATCACCCTTTCCCAAGCGACTAATCCACACCTTATCCACGCGTAGGCCTAGTTGTATAAATTAATCATACCTGGGATTTGCTTCAACGATAAGATGTATCTGGAATAATTCAATATGTGAGGCATCGTGGGGAAATCAGGCGCTCGTCAAAAATAATGAAATCACAGAAATCGGCATTTTTTGGCTAAAGGGCAATTTTTTTCAAATTGTCCTTTTACGTGCATTTAAAAACACATTACTGTGTGGATTATATTTTTTAAAAACGTTGATTTCAGGGATTAAAAAAATGTAAAATTGCAGTTTCCAAGGACTCTCAGGATATCGAAGTTATCAAACTTAGGCAGCCATTTTCTCGCTAATTTGATCTCTGGAATCAAGCGACCCTGATCTCCTTCAATCTCTAATATTTCAATATAGATGGATATGAACATGACCATGCTATAGAATGATACCAATAATTCCATATGCCCCAAAATTGACCAGTGCCTGATTCCACCACGCTGTGATACATAATATTATATGAGAAGTCAGCTTAATCCGAAATCTGCGAGACCGCCAGATTTTCTTCGGTTTTGTCGGGTTTTCGTAGCCTTAGAGAGGCTAGTGAAACAGAAGAGAGAGAACAAAAAAACCGGGGATTTTCTTCTCTTTCGGTTTATCCTTGTGTTCGGATTTACCATATTCGGTTTATTCTGATTCCACTGTAATCTAGAAAAAGTCTGGGAAAACATCGCTCAAGACCTCCCGCTACCCTTTCCCCTTTTTTTCCTGACCCGTTTTCTTATTTCCATTTGTCTTTTCTTTTTTAAAAATCCATTCCCGAGACTTCTACGTCGAGACACGAAGAAAGATAAGCTTACATGGAGTGCGAAAAGGGCGACTGCCTAAAAATAAAATCTGATTAATTCCGATGACGACCTGCGTTTGAGAGCCTAATGGTAGCTTAAAAGCCACACGCTACGGTGGTGAATGAAAAATGAGGGGAAAGGATGGGAGGGGGGCTGAATTATTCAACAACATGATATTACTTTCCTTTCTGTACTTTCAAGCCTTAGAAATAACCTTTAATAAACAAATGGGGGCCCCTTCTGTTTGTTCCGAGTTCTGTTAAGGTTTTCTGCAGCTTGGCATTTTTAGAACGCTGCTGAAAACACAACGCTCAGTTGATCAGACCTACATACAACAAAGTAAATGTTCAATGTTTTCAGAATCAATACCTTTGTTCGCCATTTTTATTATCAAAAATTTATAACAGTCCCACTCCGAAAGGGCAACATCTGCTTTCACTTTTTAATAAAACCCTTGGGATCTACGGCTGATCTGGTGAAAGCCAAGAAAAAAAAGATTTTTTTTTTTGGTTTATTGCTATTTTAATGTTTTATTTCAAGTTTACTTTATTATAGAAGAGGAAAGATACAGGGGAACGTGATTAGTTGATTATCTGGGCCTTGGGTTATTGTTTGACATGAGTCTACACATCATGAGTCAACGTATCACGGGTCAACACATCATGGGTCAATATACCATGTGTCAATACATAATGAGTCAATACATCATGGGTCAACACATCATGGGTCAACACACCATGAGTCAACACATCACGGGTCAACACATCATGGGTCAATACACCATAGGTCAATACATCATGGGTCAACACATCATGGGTCAACACACCATGAGTCTACACATCATGGGTCTACATATCATGGGTCTACACATCATGATTCTACACATCAAGAGTCAACGCATCTTGGGTCAACACATCATGAGTCAACACATCTTGGATCAACACATCATGAGTCAACACATCATGGGTCTTCACAACATGGGTCTACACATCACAATGCATCAAGAGTCAACACATCATGGGTCTACTGCAGACCATAAGTCCGCCCACCATAAGTTTACATGAAATAGGGATTATAGATCTATGTATTTTTAAGTCAATACTTTTATTCAGGTTTTGACACTGCCTATTAGTTTTTGTGAGAGTTTTACGGCACTTGCAACTCATTTAGGTCATATAAGTGACGTATATGAGAGGTGCTGCAAGGGAGTAACAAATACAAAAAAGAAGGAGGAGAGAAAAAGACCGATAGATGTTTGAAAGGAAAGATCGAAGGAGCAAACCACACCAGAGCACCCGCCAACCACCAACTGACTCTTGCCTATCGGGGCCAATCCAGGTTGTGAGGGACACAGTATCCAAATATGCATACAGGGATACTCGTGTGGTGGGAATCGAACTCTTGTCGTCTACGAGCATGAGTTGAGAGCCCAATCATAATAGCACAGACTCACGCGAGCTTATACAGATTTGAGAATTTGTATCAACTTTTGAAAAGATGTTTGCAAGCAAAGAAGTGAAAATGATAATGATATTAGAAGCGAAAATTATAATAATGTTATAAAAGAAGGTGTTTTTACACCCACGTCGAAACAAATCTGAAAAAAACGTGAGACCGAAATGCCAAAGATATACCCCCTCCCCCCCATAAAGACACAGAAACCACATAGGCTACCCAGTGTCGTCAGAATCAGTAGTGTTGTCTTTCATTCATTCATCTCTCCATGTTTGGTCGGTCGGGGACGAGCATATTATTATAAAGGTGAGCCGCGTCGACCCAGTGATTCCCGCCGTCGTATATCTGTGTGGTCGCAGAGCAGGTTCCGCCGGTGGTGACGTAGGTGTTGAGCAAGTACATCTGGTGCGGGTCGAGTCTGTCCAGGGTGTCCGAGTGAATGGCTGCCGAAGCCACATACCTGTTGTCTCCCTGAGCCACGAGCTGGTCTGGGGAGAATTCTCCGTGACTAGAATGAATCGTCAGGCCTAACAGGACGCGAGGCCTTCTAGGGCTCCAGATGGCACACTTCAACTCTAGTGTCTGCCAAAGGAACAGAGAAAAAATTCTTAGTTTTATAAGGAGTTTTACGGCATTTGCGACACAAATTACAGGTCATAGAAGGAATCGTGAGGAAAAACTCGACACGAGGCCTTCTGGGGCTCCAGACGGGACACTTCAACTCTAGTGTCTGCCAAAGGAACAGGAAAATTCTTAGATTTAGAAGGAGTTTTACGGCATTTGCGATACAAATTACAGGTCATATAAGTGCCGAAATATCAGGGTACAAGGCTAGAGGAAGACCAAGATAGACCTGAATCGAGGGTTTGAAGGACACCCTGAAAACATACAACATTCCACCCAGCCAGGCCATCAAACTTGCTAGAGAGGAAAAGCTTTTTCTCCCCTCGACGCCCTAGAGGTACAAGAAGACGGATAAAGTGAAGTAACGTAAAGTATAAGTGTCGAAAATTAATTAACAGTTGTTACTAGAAAGTAGCATACAAGGAAAAGGAGGAAGAGAGGCAAAGACGATTAATAATAGATGTTTATAGTATATGTTTTTTTGTTATAGTAGAGGGTTTTTACGGCGCTCGCAACTGCATAAAGTCATATGAGCACGCGGGACACACCTAATACTTTTAGTTTGGTAGGAAATTTTGAATTTTGCCCGGGTGGCGGCCGAAGCCTACTCTTATCGATTTTAGACCACCAAGGGATCTTTAACGTGCGCAACTTGCACACGGGACCTCCGAGATTTATCGCCCTTGTCCGAGAGGGCTAGGTGTAGATCTTTCCTGCCATAAGATCAGGGGTGTGGCAGGAAGACAGCAGTAAGAAGGAGTCAAGGAGTAGCAGTAGAAAGGCTGCAAAAAGAGTCAGGAGCCCAGAGGAAGGGGCAAAGGGGGTGAGGGGGTGGGGGCAGAAAGAGGAGGCGAAAGCAGACGACAGAATATTGCTAGAAAGCAGGAAAGGAGGTGAAAGGAGACACTTTTAGAGAATACATTTTTTCGGTCGCTACCTGGATTCGGACACGGGACCTTTGAATGAGAGGCCAACACCTTAACCTCTAGGCCACGAGAGCCCCCTAACAGATGTTTGATGCGAAGGAAGCAGCAAACCAAACAAGAGCACCCGCCAATCACTCATTTAAAAAAATCTCGATGCTCGGATCTACGTTACAGTTTTATGAGTTATAGTTATGCCAACATTGTTGGGATCACAGTGGCGGTGGGTGGTTCTAAATATGGGTGGGGCTGAGAAATCAGGAGAAGTAGAGTTCAAAGGTAAGATTTATTTGGTTCATCGGACATTCCAAATATATGAGAGTATGTTTCATTCACACACTCACACGCAAACGCGCTCATATAATCTTATACAGTTGCGAGCGCCGAAAAATACTTTCCAAAAAAAAATAAAAAAATAAATTAATTAAACTCGCAAACGCACACAAACAGCAGTCACTGGATAAGGCCGTGGAGTCGCAGAAAGCAAGGCATTCCTAAAACGTGAGCCCACGAGCGTGTTTTGGTTACCGGGTCTCTGGAGAAAGTGTGTCATGAACTTTCCCCCCATTGCCTGGGCTGGCAGAGAACGAGCCCTTGGTAACAACAGTTTCCGTGGGCTCTCGTTTGTTTCTTTTACATTTTTTCTAGAAGAGTTTCATTAAGAAAGGGCCATGGGAATTGGCTCATCCTTTGCTGAGTTCTAAACACATTTGATTGGCTGTTAGGTTACTATGGTTGTAAGCGGTGACTACAGTGATTGGATAAATGAGCAAGCGTCTGTGTTCACTGCATGCAACTAAAGGGGGAGGCGGAAGATTCTGAAACAGTTCTAACGGTTTCAACTGATTATCTCGATTATTAGAAGAAACATTCATTTACAGAGAGAAAGAGGTGGGGGTGGGGGTGGGAGTGAATGGGGCTCAAGCCTTTTAGCCCTTCTCTACGCCCCGCCACTGTGTGATCATAGCTGTTTTACGCCCCCACCTGCACCATTTAAATAACAATAATCTTAATTTATTTCATGTTATTTATTTATTTATTTATTTATTTGTTTATATTTTGTTCTTTGTCTTTTCTCCGTAATACATACATGTAGATGTGTATAGGAGGATGGGGATAGCTGAGGTACGGGAGGTTGTATGAACTTAAATCTACCACATGGAATCTTGGAGCTCGAGGTCTAACAGTGTCTGGATTTTTTAAAAATCAATGTCTTCCTTCTTAAGATATTTCCTTTCGGTTCGGTAATTATTATGTAATTGTAGAATTTTAAAGCCCCAATCGACACCTTCGGTTCAATGATAAGACCAAAAAAGTCGGGGCGGGGAGGGGAAAGCAAATGTTCCACTTTCCAAAATACATGTATAATATTCATAAAAAAATGGAGGGAACATGTTTTGCGGAGGAGTAAGGTTTCAACTTTATATATATATATATATGTGTGTGTGTGTGTGTATGTGTGTGTGTGTGTGTGTGTATGTTTGTGTGCGTATAGTATATAATATAATATATAAAAAGGATCCAAAATTATTGTGGTCATCTCCTGTTGCACAATGTTTGACAGCCAGATGGGTCTTTCTTTCTGTTCTTCTGTTCTTTGTTTGTTAGTTTTAATGTATTTTTCTAAGCAGTCAAACGACACAATAAAGGTCACCTAGTGCCGTGAAAAAGTAAGACAGTCATACAGAAACAACAGAGGGAAAGAAAGGAAGTAGGACATAGGGGGCGCCCTCCAACCATCCGCTCCAGACGTTTTAAAGGCGGGCTAAGTTCGAGTAAAGCAAAGTACATCGACACAATGGAGGTTATTAAGTGTACAGGGAAATGATAACACAGACAAACAGAAACAATCAACGGTCTACCAATTTTCAAAAAGTTTCTGCTTCCTGGTTCAAAAAACACTTTTTGTATGGAGTTTGGGATGCTGAGAACGAAAATGGTAATGAAATTTGACATTTAGGTCTAGTTTTCAAGATATTCAGGATTTCACAATTTACAAGTGATAAATTAGAGCTAGCATTGTTAATTCAGACTTATTTGACTCATTGTTTCGTGGCTTATCTCTTGTATTGAAGTTTTGGTACATTTCTTGTTAGTAACCAACAGTAATCTACTATCTTACTATCAGTCTATTTGCTCTTAGTGTCGCTTTCCATAGCTGCAGTGTCTGGGTGAAAAGGTTTCCCACGTCCATCACTCTGAGCACCTCATTCATAAGACATTCCCCATCGTTACCCTCAACCAGGTTACCCTTCATTGTAAAAAAAGTGGAAAAAAATCTTCGTCTCGCTTTCTAAATGTGCTCACTTTAATACCGGGTGCCCACTACGGCTGGGATCACCCGACTTGATCGCCTCTAAAACAAACGTGTTTGTTTTCAGTTTCACGCGATCGAGACGGGCGATCGGCCCGATCCAGCCGTAGTGGGCACCCCGTACAGTCAGCAAGCAAGTTCGTTTTGCTGGAGCCTCGAACCCAACACGTCTGCTCTGCGCTTTGGCAGCTGCGAGTCTTGGAGAAGGTCATTCAGTCCATTTTACATGATCATACGATGTATTCCTATAAGAAACTTTTGCACGAAAATGAGGTTTATTTGGTGTTAAGCTTCAGTCTGTTCTTCAAGGGTATCTTCTTCCCTTTCTTTTAATTCAGTAATTATTGCCTCGTGCTTGACAGAAATTAATTGGTAAACCTTTACTATGTAGTACTTGACGTCGGGCACGTGAAATTATCTCGAAATACAACTATTCTCTCCCGCTTTCTCTTATGTTCTTTTTCTAACTGGTTGCACATTACAGACACATCATTTTTCTGAATAATCGCTTGGTTCACGCCAAACAATCAGTATTGAAAAGAACTTTGGGTCCTTTTTTTCAACTACTGGAGAAGGCTTTTGGCACAGGCACATGACTGCCTACGTAAGGAGTCCAACTTTTGTCCTGGTCACCAACTCCGCATCTAAAATACGCGGAGATAGGCCATTCAAAGCCTGATATCTTTGTCCTTTGAGCCACTATTATTTTATGTTCTTTCGCTGCAAATATCACAGTAATTGTCAGTATTGTCTACGCAATGATGAGGCGTTACGACTGTTACCGTAGAATAAAAGGCTGCTTTTGGTTAGGAAACACACTGTTGGCTAAGTGAAAACTAAAGGGTCACAGTGAAGCAGCAAAGGAAAAATGTTGTTTTATACTGCTTAAAACTAATGCTACTTTCATAGCAAATTATTTGCAGCCTAAAATCGCTGATCCCAGGTGCCCAATGTCTTTTCCCCCCATTATAATACAATAAGGAAACTCGACCTTATGCTATATCTAAAAAACTAGACCTGAACATAAAAAACGGATATCATTTCCGAATTCAACTCCCCCAAATTGAAGTAAGAATCAACAGGTTTTAATCTCGAAGTAAATTCCTTATAAACCAGCGTAATGGGAAAGAAAAGACGCAGGACAAGTTACCAGTTGTGCCCTATGGCCACCCACAGAAAAAGCGACAAAAAACAGCAACGTAATGGGAGGAACGACCCTCTAGGGCAATTTTCTATGTCTGTTGCCTCAGATAAAATCCAAGTGCATATATAAGTTAGACATATAAAAATATCTTGATATGTACTTTCGTTTCTGCATAGCTACAACGGTTGCTATGGGAACGGCTGTCATTTTGACAATAAACAATACATTTCAAATCCCTAATGCGTTCTTATTTAACTTACTAAATCTGACCAAATTTGGTAAGAGTATACCAACACAAGTCCCTATGAATGTAACAGAAATTATTTTCAATAAGTGTCAAAGAAAAACAAAAGAAAATGTTCCCAATGTATATATAGACCTTTTCTAAATTTTGGTTGCGTAATGGCTTGTTTTGAGAAAAACGACAATTTTTGTGAAAATTCACATTTTAACCGACCCTTAAATTTTCAAGGGCTATTTACGACGAAAATAAAGATTTTCTCAATAGTCTCCTTGTTTTTTTTTTCAGACAAAGAACTGGCTGACCTTCAAAAATTTGGCCAACATCTCAATTTGCATAGCTTGACCCTTGCGAGTTCGGGGGTTCGAGCCTCCACTCGGTCCGACGTTGTGTCCTTGAGAAAGACACTTTACACGAACTTCCAACTTGGCTCGGTCCTATCGGAGACGGACGTTAAAATAGGAGGTCCCGCCCCTTTAATAACCTAATGGTGTTGATAGGTGAGTTAAACCTATACCATTTCACCATTTTCATAGCTTGACCCCAAATTCGGCCAAACTGAGAGTCCCGTTAAAGAAGAATCAAAGCGGAACTTTCTAACCGTTTCGTTGATCCAACGTGCCCCGGATTCGGCTTCTATGATGTACACGGACCGGTAGGTGGTGACCCGGTAGTCTTTGGTCACGTGGTGGCCGTGGTTGTCTGTGACGTCACACACGTAGTTCTCCTCCCCCTCGCGGTCTGTCGGAGGGAAAGCTTCGACGAAGACGTACGATAAGTCTTCAC